AATGCTAGAATGTAATATAATAATGAACTTAGTATTTTATAATAAAAGCACCTGGTATTACAGGGATTTCTCTGAGCCCTAATTGAACCATAATGCCTCTAATTAAGCTCCTCTGGAAGACGTCCATCAGATATTAATATTTATCAGTCACAGTGCATAACAAGATTTCTTTGAATTAGACTGAAGTATAGAAGTAGCCTTAAAATAATCCATTTTCATAGCAAGAACAGGAGAAACTAAGGATGAACTGATGTCTAACTGGCAGGTATGGACCCTCGTTACTCAGACCCACCTATAATCTTAAAGGTCGGGCAGGAAGAGACCTGGACTGCAAAGGTTTGAGCGAGGAATGGTAAAGATGAACAGGAATCTAATATTTATTTGCTATTTTATATTTTTCATTTTACAAACGGCAGGGTTGGCCAAGCTGCTTTACATGAAAACAAAAAACTTAAAACAATTAAAGCTAAAACAAAAAAGAGTTGGTATATTTGACACCTTCCTAGATCTAGTCCTTTTAGAATGTGAGAGGCCCTCCTGCTGTTCTAAGCTGTTGCATGTCCCATTCATGCTCACATTGATTTATAATGTTTATTTATTTATCTATATTAACCAGAGTGGAATATTCCTCTGTGTGCTCATTCAGACCCTGGTGGAGACCGTGTCCTGTGGAGGAAACCTCCTGATGAACGTGGGCCCCACGCATGATGGGAGGATCGCTCCCATCTTTGAGGAGCGCCTCCGGCAGATGGGTCAGTGGCTGAAGGTGAACGGGGACGCCATCTACAACAGCACGGCGTGGCGAGCTCAGAAGGAGAACGTCACTAGCAACGTGTGGTGAGTAGGGGTGTAAATCACTTCCATCATGGCGATTCGATTCAGTATCTATTTCCTGACCCAACGATTCGATTATTTTCGATACTCAGGAATACACCACGATACGATTCGATTAATCGATTCATTTTTTTTTTTTTTTTAGACCTTACAGGCTAAACAAGGTTTCAAGTTTGAAATAAATCAATGAAAGCTGTAATATCGTTATGCATTTTTTTTTTGGAAACAACAGCAAATAACAGAAGTAAAGTTGCATCAAAAAATACTGCAGAAAATCAGTGCAATGAGTGCAATGCAATACCTCGGCTCCAGACGTCCCGCCCCCTCCACAGACGCTCCGCTGCTCCTCTCCCAAATTGTACCCAACCGCAGACAGGAGGCCGGCTTGTTTTGTTTTTATGACCAAAATTGCGGAAAACGACTCGTGAAGTTTGACCCGCTAGAAGATCGAGGTGCGCGAGAACGCTGGGAGCCTTTTTCCACCTGGATCTCCGCTCTTTTTGGCCCTCATGTCCCTCCGTCGTCGGACTAAACTCGCCCCCACTTCCTCGCCGCCTCGGCCGTATCTAGACCCACAGCGTGTAGCACAGACCACGCTTCAATACTGAGCATAAATCAAAAATGTCTGCGTAAAGCTCCCTGCAACACACTGCTGTAAGAGTATAACCAGGAAGCGAGGCAGGAGGGCAAAATGGGTTTAGCGCCACCGCAGCATGGGAGGAGAATTACGCCCAGGAGCAAATGGAAAAAAATAGACCGGAGGAAAAAAAAACATGAATCGATTCTCTTGCGGACGTGTCGATGCATCGGATCGTCGGCTGTTGGATCGATGCATCGATACAAAACGATTATTATTTACACCCCTAGTGGTGAGTCCTGGCTCGTCTTTGGGAAACGGCTTTTTAGAACTTAGAACAAGTAAAACCTTTCAGCCTGATTGGATTTTACTTCATTGGATTCTAGGACAGATTTGACTTAAAATAAACTGTATTTAAACAAGATTAAATAAATACTTTTATAAAAACAAGGAGCAACTTAGGCCGTTTTTGGACCCGTATACTTCTTCTGTCTGACTCTGCGATGACTTTATGTTTTAGTTTGGTTGTGTATAGATAAGCTGAACAGGATGTATTTTCTGCAGGTACACGTCCAAACCTCAGGAAAAGGCGATCTTTGCCATCTTACTGGAGTGGCCGGATAACGGATCAGTGATTCTGAATGAGCCGCTGGTTACAAAGGGACAAACGCAGGTAAAAAATCTTCCTTCACAAATTCATAAAAATTTAAGAAACACATTTAATCACAAAATATTGAAAACTTTCAGTGTGGATCATAAAAGTTTTTAAAATGTGACATGTTCAAGGCCCCATGAAGCTTACTTCTATGTTGTCTTTGGTGTTGAAAGGTGGAGCTTCTGGGCCACGGCTCTCTGCAGTGGGAGCCCAGCAAGCCCAGCGGACTGCGGGTCCTTCTTCCTCAGCTGTCCTTCAAACAGATGCCGTGCCAGTGGGCCTGGACTCTGAAGCTGACCGGCGCCTCCTGAAGGAAAACCACTTCACCTGATCAGAAGGCGGCAGCACAGCAGGGAAGGAGGGAGACTCTTGGCTCTCTGACTTGAATTTCTTCCCTGAATCAGTTTTTATAAGAAATTGATTCTCTGTGATTTGCACTTTTTACTCTATGCTTTTATATTTGTTTTTTTAAATGATCTAATTCAGGGGAACTCAATTAAATTTACGGTTAAATCTATGGTTATAGTTTTTATAGGGTCACATTTTCGGGTCAATCTTCCCTATTTCTATGTGAACCATTAATAAAGAAATAAGATGTAAAAATGTCTCTGAGTTCTGCTTTTTATTACAGCTACCTTTGAACCCCTTTTTTGAATCTTATTTACTTTTATATCTCAGTCAGAATAAGAAGCTTGAATCTTTAAGTGTATTCATAATTATTACTTAACCCTGTAATGCCAAATGTATCGTATTTGATGCATACGGTTTCTGAAATGTTTTGCGTCTGACACCTTTTGCATAATTTAATGGTAAAAACTAGGGATGCACCATATTGGGATTTTGGCCGATATGCCGATATTTTAAAACTCATGGAGCCGATAACCGATATCGATACCGATGTTAAAGCTGGACAAAAATAAGTAGTCATTGAAAATAGCAGTTTTGTTATCCATTTCTGACACTTTGAAAAATAATAAACTCAAATATATTTTCATATGCTGATATCAAATAGATTTTTTAAAAACGCCGTATCGATCTATTTCACTTTTAAACTCTCGTGAAATTTCATCGTTCTGTTACAAACTCTCGTGATAATTTGCAAATTCTTGTGAGATTTTGTTTGTAAAATAGATCGATACCGCGTCAATATATCAACATATAAAAATATGGCAACATTTTGGGAATTTTCGGGGGATTTCGTAGCATAACGATGACATATAGCAATATTTCATTAGTAAAAGAGATTGATATGGTGTTTTTAAATGGCAATATATCAGCATATGAAGATATTGGGATATTTTAATGTATCAATATTTTTTCCCTCGTCTTTAGAAGTTTTTAAGTCTGTAAAAAAGAAGTTTTTGAGGAAGAAGAAGAAGTAGTATTTTTTTTTTTTTTAGACTTTAGAAACTCAGAAGCTGATCAAATATCGGGTTAAATATCGGTGGGGTGGCCGATGTCCGATATTCAGTTTTAAGGCCGATACCGATAGGGGGCCGATTATATCGTGCATCCCTAGTAAAAACTTTGCTCAAAATCCTATTGTACACAATCAGATATACCTGATAACAGAGGGCAGAAGACTACACAAAAAATAATCTTGACTTATCGCATAGTAATAAATTATTAATATCAAAAATTTATTTCTGTTTTTCCTTTTTACATATTTTGTTAAAAGGCCAAATAAGGACTTCAAACCAAAAAAAAGTAATTTTCTGTTTTGTTTTATTCTTGGATCGGGCTTTAAAGGGTTAAAGTGAAGATAAATATTTTTCATTAGAATTCCAGGTACTTAGAGATTCACTTCAATACAGAAAGCCCATATTCTTACCTTCAGCTACCACAGTATAATACTACTTATACTTCAGCGATAGTATCAAGGTGCTACTTTATTGTATCTCTTATACTTTATCCATTGGTTGTGCTGTTCTTTTTACATCTCTTTGCAGGTGATGAAGCAGACTGAAGATGTTTTATCATTATCTCCCTTTTATCTCCTCTTTCTTCTATCTTTTCCCTTTTTTTTCTGCTTTTCCTTTCCTGTTCTACTTACATTGCAGTGTCAATATAATCTGTAATACATAATCTGTAATGCATAAATCAAGCGGAACACGATGGCGATAGCCGTTCTGCTCCACTTGTGAAAGTAAAATCTGTTGGGCTCTTTTTAGCATCAAGACAATTATTCTTATTGCCACATTGCCAGACAGGACACTGTTAAAGAACAGTGATATTGAGATTTATTTTTAGGTCTTGAGGACCAGAATTATGATTTTATATCTTAAAATCAAACTCTAATTCTGGAGAAATTTAGAAATAATTAAGACTTTCCTTCTTATACTTAAGGGTTTAAAAGTCTAGATTATGATTTGAAGTTATTTATTATTATTTCTTATTTCTTTATCTCAAAACTATTATTTTAAATCTAGAAAATATTATTCAGTTGTCTGACCCTAATGACAAAAATTTTGAATATTTAATATGGGCTTTAAAATGGAATCTTATAATTTTGACTTTAAAGTTTTAAATCCTATTCAATCATATTTTCCAAGTAGGAGTTAAAAAGTTCAAATTTACCTTAATTAGAAATCTCATAAAAATCTCCAAAAGTTCTAATAATTTAGTATATTATAACTAGAACTTTATACACCATAGTTCAATTTAAATCTTCTAAAAATGAATTTTTAATTCCACATTTTGTAGATGTCACATATATGACTGCATTTCATAATTAAAACGTCAGTTGGATGTAATTTGATTCTTTGGCGCCCCCTACTGGCCGCTTGTCGAACCGCAGCAGGACAGCGATGGTTCCAAGCGGAGCTCTGAGCAGAGATGGTCCAGCCAACAGACCGGCCGCCTCATCGCTCCGGTGAACCGCCGCTGCATCGCGCCTACATTACACTCATTGTCCGGTAAGTCTGCTTTCCTTCCCACCGCGGGGCTGTTTTTATTAAAAGCCGTCGTTTCGCTCTTTCCCCCCCCCCCCGCTCCGGTGAGCCACAGCGGCTCTAGGGTCGCACTTGTCACCGGAGATGGAGCGCCCTGTGTCGGCCAGATCACACTGTTGTGTCTGCTCTCTGTTGCACGCCTTAAAGGTGGGAGGTCCCTGTTCTGCAAATGTTCCATGACGTGCAGATGGGGGGTTTGCAAGGGGTTCTCACGTCCATGCAGAGAGACCCCCCCCCCCCCCCCCCCCCCCCCTCAGGCTTCCCCCCCTCAGCACATGACTGCTGCTGATCCCCAAAACAAACAACAAGCCTTCAGGATGCTCAGCTGTGATGGCTGCAGGATGTCACATCTGTTCTGCTTGCAATGCTGGCTGAAAAATGAGCTCAGAAGTTTGATTCTTGGATGTTTTTAATGTTTAAGATTCAGACATTAAACGGGTAGAGGATAGTATTGGATGAATCCTTGAGCTAAAATGGATCACTGTTATTGGGGAATAATGACAGTGGCGGTTCTAGATGGATTAAGGTGGGGGCCAGTGTTTTTTTTTTTTTTTTTTTTACAAAAGTTTGACAAAGAAACAAAATAGAAAATAGGGTCATTGTTCATTGTTTGAGATATTAAATGAGCTAGAAGAGCCACTTGCACCCATGGACATTGTCAACATTTGAACTGAATATGACAGAAGCTGTTTCTGTGTGTGTGTATATATATATATATTAGTGCTGTCAAACTATTAAAAAATTTTAATCGCATATTATCAACAGTTAACTCGAGGTTAATCGCATATTTTATCTTTTTATTTTATTTATTTTATTTGGCCATTTAAAAATGCAATTGTGCAATAATGTAAAAAACAAATGCTTATACAAAAAAAATTTTTTATTAGCATAATTTTTCAAGCACTTTTAAGAAACTAGAATAAAAATATCCTGGTTTAAATTCAAAATTTTAAATTAGGCGTTATGCTTCCATCAAAACTTTACAAAACTACAGAACAGTAAACAGTACTTCAAAGTACTCCGTAAGCTTAAGTTTTTTCTGAAACATAGGACAAAAATAAAGATGTTAAAATAAAGTGCACATTCCGTTATGAAATACAGACTTAATTAAAATGAAATGAATTTACTCACAAAAATAATAAATAAATCAGACGAAATTACAATAACTGGGCTTTGCAGTCATCTCAGCAACATAACATTTTACATGTAGAACATTTTCAAAATGCTTTAATATTCCTTTGGTCTGAACAGGAATTGCAGCAGCAGTGCTTTCCACATGACTTAGTTCATTTCTTTGTCTTGTTGGCACTAAGCCAGTGAGACGTTCGTTTCTTCTGGACAACATAGACAGACGACTTGGGTTTTGTCAAGAGAACCTTCTGGCATAACTTAAAAAAGAAACGTATCATTCAGGATACCTTGTCTGCTGGCCATTTTTGCCCATTCAAAGCACGGGTCTGTTATGCTGCGGACTCTCCCGCAAACTTAGCATTCCTGAAGCTACGGAAAGCGCCAAGGGTAAAACAAACAGTACAGAGAGCGCTGCGGAAAAATAAAGAACACAAGCGAACGGTGCGTTTGTTTTGATGCGCGATCAACGTGCGTTAAAAAAAATGTCGGCGTTATAGTCTACAGCAGTTAACGTGTTAATAACGCTTTAAAACTGACAGCCCTAATATATATATATATATATATATATATATATATATATATATATATATACATACACATGTGTGGGCGCACTGTATATACCCTCATACACCTTTTCCTCCTTTTGGCACTTTCTTCTTTGTGAATATTGGGCCAATGTAATGAGTAAGTTTCTCTTCTGTGAGATCAATAAATTCAATCAATCAAATAAATCAATCAACAATTAAAATCTTATATTATTATTTAAATGAACTGAAAAAAAGAATTTGGTTTAAGACAGTTTCTGTGCCATCATATATCATTTTTAGACTTATTTTAGTGTTATGTCTGTAGCACAGGAGCCACACCACTGCCACAGGGGCACTGGCCCCTGTTGCCCCCCATCTAGATCAGTCCTTAATAATAAATTAAATAATTTAGCCAATTTAGTCATAACAAAATTAAATATCCTCTTATTGCAAAAGATTGATGTAATGTGCGTTGATATTTTTCCACCCTCCCACCTGAGCTGTGGCTCTTTGCAGCTCCTCCAGGGCTACAGCTACAGTCCATTTAACTGTAAAACAGTTTTAGGGTTAAGACACAAGGAACAGATATTTAAAGGCTTTCATTTCTTAAAAAAAAGATTTATTTGGGTGATTTGTTTTTAGGGGGAGATCAGCTTTAAATGAGTTTGATCAAAATGATTCAGCTCACTTCATTAGGATGGTTTAATTTCCTCATCTCAGTTTGATGAAGACTCAGGAAACTGAGGCAAATTGCCAGCATCTCAGTCACGACAGCGTGTAAAGCCCAGTTTCGCTTTGTCCCTTTTCACCTTTGACTTTACGTCAAAGGTGACTCTCAGGGTGAAAAAAAAACAAAAAAGCAGAAATCCGGGATGCCCATCAGAGCACTAATTATATGTCATTACACAGCTGAAGCCCATTTTGCCCGCTCATTTCTTCTCGTCTTTGTGCTGTGGTCTGTGTCAGTAATTATACATGTAGACAGGAACTGGGAAACTGTTTCAGACATTGGCGTGGTTGTCATGGAAACACGCTATGGTGTGAGATTATTTTCAGGTAGCGCTGTAATGATGGCATGAGTTAACGTGTTCCTTTGAGGACGGCGGTGGGGGCAAACAAAGCGGCCGGTGATGGCGGGTGAAGATTTCTGAATGAAGCGATGCTTCAGGTGAAACCGGCAGAGAGTGACGGCGCTGTTTGCCCAACATGCAGGGGTTCAGTTACCCCTGTCAGGGATATCTCTCTCCGGGCATATGACCATCACTACAGTGAGCCAGAGAGGAAAACCTCATTCCTTCCATTCATAAATATTCCCCCCCCCCTTCTCCTATCCATTTTAGCACTAAGATCATGTTAGGCCTGCTTGTAGTGCGTGGCATTCGATCACATGCAAGTGGCAGATTTGAGCCACTCAGCAGAGCTGCAGTGTGGCTCTAGATAGTGGAAATGCCAAGCAGTGTGTGGAACATCCTGGGGGACAGACCATTATATCTATAGAGACAAGTGACTTGACCTTCACTGCACATTGAGTATCAGCCATTTTAGCACCGCTTCTCTAGACAATGAATACAGCATAAAGGATCTGAGCTGCAGTGCAGTTAGTTAGTTTCCATCTCCTCTCTGGCTTGTTAAAGGCTTCATCTAATAATAACTCAGTGCAATCATGCTGTGCAGGGACTGTCAATGCTGGGTCTAAGCAATCACTGTTTTTTTCTGTTCTGCTTTGAACAAACTGCTTCCTGAAAGAAACAGCTGCTAAAAACTAGCAGTTGAAGAAGGAATCAGTCTTTAAACAGTTTGCTCTGAATTGGCACTCTGAGGTTTAAGCTTACTGGGCCCAGGCAGGTAGTATAAGAGCATGTTAACACATTTAACAATAAAGCAATATACCCAAACTTTCCTGTTGATAGGGTTCACTTATGACAAGAGTTTTAGTACGTGACACGATCAGCAGACCTATTGAATGCTGTTGCCATCCTCTGGCAGCAGAGACCTACATAATCATGCATCCATCAACTTGGTAGCTTCAGTATCCAATTTTAAGACGTTTCTCTTCCATCCAAGAAGCTTTCTGAATTCAAAATGTCTGGAATAGCGTTGAGTTCCAGGTTTTATACTTTAGCCCAACAAAGCCTTGTTTTCAGGCTACTGTCGATGTTGAGCTACTGTATAAAACCTCAGACTCAACGTTATTGCTGACATTTTGAATTGAGAAAGTTTCCTGGATGGGAAGCGAAACGTCTTCAAACTTGGAAACAAAGTCCTGTGGATTGTTTTTCATTTTCTTTTTTTGGAATGACTGACCTGGAGGACTGAGAATCTTAACCAGTCGCTTTAGCTCCCGATTCTAATGCCCCATTTACACTACCCCTCCGAAACCGATCCGTGCTGATTTTGGATCGAGCTTGGATCAGTTAACCGCGCCGAACTTGGTTCTTATGACCAGTTCCTCACCTTCCATCCACGGTCCTCGATACTACAGCTCTCAAGGCTGGAAATACGCAAACAAAAATGCCGACGGCCGTTAGTGCTGGGCGATATAGAAAAAAAGCTTATCGATAAAAAAAAATGCATATTGATTGATATCGATAATTATTGAAAAAATTTGAAACCGTATTTTATGTGCAGCTCTGCCTGGACATTTTATGATATTGATTTAATTTTAATAAAGAACACAAACACAGACTTCCTATTAAATCTTTATTTAACCAACGTTTTTAACCATAACAGAATTGTTTTAAAGAAAAATAACTTAAGAGACCTGATTTATGTTATTAAATACTGACAAAGAATAAACTAAAATGACCAGAAAAGTGACCAAAATAAATATAACAAATAAATAAATGGATACCATTTATTGTTAATAGGCTGAGTAGAAGCTGGTGTTGTGAACAGGTGAAGAGATCTGTTAATTGCAAAGCCGGACGTGCCGGAAAACCCGCGAAATGAGTCAGCTGACTGTAAATAGGAGATGACGACATCTGCTCATGCACTCTTTGTTATCAGAGAACCGAACCACAAGTGAACGGTGCCGAGCCGTACTGTTGGAACTAGTACTAGATTTAGCACAGTTCTGTTGTTTCTGGTCCAGTTCAGTTACGTTCCTTTTATTCTCATCAGTTGTAGCGGTGCATGGTTGCCATGGTTTCAAAAGGGTAGTGTAAATGGAGTTTAACAATCCTATTATAGTACTATGAGTGCTACATGTGTCTCATCCCACTTGGCTTGTTTCACACCTCTGCTGGGAGTTGCTTGGCTTCCTTCTAACTCATTATTATGCGCAGATTCATGAGACGTGTTTTCATC